TCATCATCATCATCAGCATCATCATCATCATCCCTCATCCTCATCCTCATCCTCATCCTCATCCTCATCCTAATCCCTCATATCCTCATCCTCATCCTCATCCTCATCATCATCATCATCATCATCATCGTCATCGTCATCGTCATCATCATCATCAACATCATCATCATCACCACCATCATCATCATCATCATCATCGTCTTAATCATCATCATCATCATCAGCATCATCATCATCATCCTCATCATCATCATCATCATCATCATCATCATCATCATCATCATCGTCATCATCCCTCTTCCCTCCTCCTCCCCCCGTCCCCTTTCTCTCTCCACCCCCCTCCTCCCCCCCTCGTTCTCCTCTTCCTCCTCCTCCTCCTCCTCCTCGTCCATCTCCTCTTCCTCCTTTCCCTCCTCCACCTCCTCCGCGTGCAAGAAATCCAACAACATGTCGCGGAAATCAACGAACTGTGGTTTTCCGGGTTTTTTCGGGCGTCCTTTTAGGACTTGTCGGGGCCGTCTTAGGGCCCCCTTGGGCGTCCTGGGAACCCGGAAATCATGTTCCGATAGAGGCTTCGGGGAACATGATTTCGGACGCTGCGGAAGAGGCCTCCCAAGAATCTCTATGGGCAGCTCTGCTTGCCCCCGTTGTGGCTCTGTTGGGTGCCTTTTGGGGCTCTCTTGGGCTGGCTTGTAGCTCTCATGGGTCATCTTGGGTCCCTCTTGGGCCGTCTTGGGGCTCCTCGGGGTGGCACTGTAAAGACGTCGTCGTCGTCGTCGTCGCCGTTCGCCGATCGGCGGCGTCAACTGTTGTCATCGTCGTCCATCGTCGTCGTCGTCGTCGTCGTCGTCGGTCGTCGTCGCCGTCGACGACCGTCGTCGTCATCGTCAATCACCGTCGCCGATCACCGTCGCCGATCGTCGATCGGCCCCGAGCCCTCCCGCCCACTCCTCCTCCTCTCCTCCTCCTCCTCCTCTTCCTCCTCCTCCTCCTAATCTGCCTCCTCTTCCTCTTCCTCCTCCACCTCCTCCTCCTCCTGAAATCATGTTCCCGGAGACGCTTCCGGGGTCAGGATTTCGAACGATGCAGAAAAGACTGGGTCCAGGGTGGCTCTGCGCACGCGGACAGCGTCGCCGCCGTCGGCGTGGCCGTCGTCGTCGTCGCCGTCGATCGTCGATCGGCGACGTCGACTGTTGTCATCGTCGTCTATCGTCGTCGTCGTCGGTCGTCGACCGTCGTCATCGTCGTCGTCGTCGTCGTCGCCGTCGTCGTCAATCACCGTCGCCGGTCGTGGTCGCCGATCGTCGATCGCCCTCGAGCCTCCTCCTCTCTCCCCCCCTCCTCCCCTCCACTCCTCCTCCCCGCCTCCTCCTCCTTCTCCTCTTCCTTCTCCTCCTCCTCCTCCTCCTCCTCCTCCTTCGCCCTCTCCGTCTCCTCCGCGCGGAAGAAATCCAGCAACATCTCGCGCAAATCAACGAACTATGGCCCTCCGGGCCTTTTTGAACGTCCATTTAGGGCCTTTTGGGGCCGTCTTAGGGCCCTCTTGGGCGTCGTGGGAACCAGGAAATCATGTTCCCGGAGAGGCTTCTGGGAACATGATTTCGAAAGAGGCCCTCTTGGGCCTCCCTGAGGCCGTGTTGGGAGCCTCCTGGGCCAACTTTGGGGCCTCTTGGGCCGTCTTGGGGGTTCCGTGAGCCTCACAGGACGACCCTTTTGGGCCGTCTTGGGCCCTCTTGGGTCTCTCTTGGGCTGTCTTGGGGCTCGGGGGCGTCTGGGGCACTGTGAGGACCAAGCAAGCAAATATGCTGAAAACGTACATTGTACAACAGGAATGGGCCGATTTTTGCCTCTTGAAGGCCCTCTTCGGCCAGCTTCAAACCATCTCGGGCCCTCTTGAGGCGCTCTTGGACGTCTTGGGGCCCCCTTGGGCCTCGCTGAGGCTGTCGGACAGCGTCGCCGCCGTCGGCGTGGCCGTCGTCGTCGTCGCCGTCGATCATTGATCGGCGGCGTCGACTGTTGTCATCGTCGTCGATCGTCATCGGTCGTCGTCGTGGTTGTCGTCGTCGTCGTCGTCGTCGTCGTCGTCGTCGTGAATCACCGTCGCCGGTCGTCGTCTCCGATCGTCGATCGCCCTCGAGCCTTCTCCTCCTCTCTCCCCCCCTCCTCCCCTCCACTCCTCCTCCCCGCCTCGTCCTTCTCCTCTTCCTCTTCCTCCTCCCCCTCCTCCTCCTCCTCCTCCTCCTCCTCCTCCTCCTTCGCCCTCTCCGTCTCCTCCGCGCGGAAGAAATCCAACAACATTTCGCGAAAATCAGCGAACTGTGGCCCTCTGGGAATTTTTGAATGTCATTTTAGGCCTTTTTGGGGCCGTCCTGGGGCCCTCTTGGGCGTCCTGGGAACCCGGAAATCATGTTCCCGGAAAAGCTTCTGGGAACATGATTTCGAACGAGGCCCTCTTGGGCCTCCCTAAGGCCGTCTTGGGGGCCTCCTGGGCAGGCTTTGGGGCCTTTTGGGCCGTCTTGGGCTGTCTTGGGGCTCCTCGGGGGCCACTGAGGACGAAGCAAGCGAGTATGCTGAAATTGTACGGTTTACATGAGGAATGGGTAAAGTTCTGCCTCTTGAAGGCCCTCTTGGGGCCCTCTTCGGCCATCTTCAAGCCATCTCGGGCCCTCTTGGACGTCTTAGGGCCCTCTGGGGCCTCGCTGAGGCTGTCTTGTGTGCCTCTTGGGCTGTCACGCGGGCAGCGTCGCCGCCGTCGGCGTCGCCGTCGTCGTCGCCGTCGATCGTCGATCGGCGGCGTCGACTGTTGTCATCGTCGTCGATCGTCGTCGTCGTCGGTCGTCGACCGTCGTCGATCGTCGTCGTCGTCGTCATCGGCGTCGTCGTCGTCGTCAATCGCCGTCGCCGGTCGTCGTCGCCGAATCTCACGCAAATCAACGAACTGTGGCCCTCCGGGCCTTTTTGAAGGTCCTTTTAGGGCCCTTTTGGGGCCGTCCTGGGGCCCTCTTGGGCGTCCTAGTAACCCGGAAATCATGCTCCCGGAGAGGCTTCCGGGAACATGATTTCGAACGAGGCCCTCTTGGGCCTTCCTGAGGCCGTCTTGGGGGCCTCCTGGGCCGGCTTTGGGGCCTCTTGGGCCGTCTTGGGGGGGTTCCGTGAGCCTCACAGGACGACTCGTTTGGGCCGTCGTGGGCCCTCTTGGGTCTCTCTTGGGCTGTCTTGGGGCTCGGGGGCGTCTGGGGCACTGTGAGGACCAAGCAAACGAGTATGCTGAAAATGTATGCTTTACGAATGGAAATAGGCCGGTGTTTGCCTCTTGAAGACCCTCTTGGGGCCCTCTTCGGCCATCTTCAAGCCATCTCGGGCCCTGTTGGGGCGCTCTTGAGCGTCTTGGGGCCCTCTTGGGCCTCGCTGAGGCTGTCTTGTGGGCCTCTTGGGCTGTCTTTGGGGCCTCATGGGCCGTCTTGGGCGGGTTCGTGGACCCCACAGGACGCCCGGGGCGGCCATGCCAACCGGTGGCACCACCCCACCCCCGCCCCCGGGCCCCGTCCGTCTGTCCTACTGCTCCTCTCCAAACCCTCGTTCCCTAACCTCCCGATCATGTTCCCGGACCCCCGTCCCTTCCCCCCAGAGCACCGCAGCAGTAGGAAAGCGTTCCGAAACGGTGAGAAATCATGTTCCCGGAAAGCGTTCAAGAATATGAATCGTACGTCGTCCAAGGCGCCTCGGAAGGCGCAGAATACTCCTCCAAGGCGCGGAATCATGTTCCCGGACCGCCTTCCGGGAACATGATGGGGACGACCTCCTGAGGGCCTCCAGTGGGCCTCTTTGGGGCCTCTCGGAGGCCTGTGGGGCTCTCCTGGAGGCGTCTTGGGGCGCTCTCAGGGCCATTTTGGGGCATCTTGGGGGCCTCTGGGGGCCTTCGGGGAGGCTCTTGGGGGGGCCTCTTGGGGCCTCGCGGGGCCCTCTCGGGGACCGCTGGGCTCGCTCAGGCAGCCTTGAAGCCCTGTCGGGGCACTCCTGGAACCGTCTTGGGCGGCTCCTGGGCCATCTTGGGGCTCTCCTGGGCCGTCTTGGGACGATTTTGGGGGTTTCTTGGGCCGTCTTGGGGCGGTCTTGGGGGCCTCTCTTCGGCCGTCTTGGAGCGGTTTTGGGAGACTCTTGGACGGCCTTGGAGCGTCGGAACTCCGAAAAAGCGAGAAGGCCAAAAACCTCGGAAAAAAAAATAAAAATCAACGATGTTGGCTTGTCGGGGCTCTCTTGGGAGGCCTCTTGGGATGCCTTCGGGGCCTCATGGAGCTCTCTTGGAACGTCTTCGGGCCTTCCTGGCCATTCCTGAGGCTATCTATGCGCGTCTTGGAGCGCTCGCGGGCCGTTTTGGGCGGTCTCGAACTGTTCCTGGCGGTCCCAGGGGCCCTCCGGGACGCTTCGGACGCTCCCGGGGGCGCCCTGCACACCCCATGGAGATGACAGGCACCGCCCCGGGGCCCTACTCCGATATATATATATATATATATATATATATATATATATATACGAGTCAAGCTTACAGAGAACGCCCCCCCCCGCAAACGTGGGAATGCGCATGCGGTAGAAAAACTACGTCCAGTACAAGACTTCCTTTGTCCAGCTACCTTGACACCATCACGTCAGCGAAGTGCTCAATCCACCTCCTCCGCCTCCTCAACCCTCCCCATCTCCCCTCTCCATTGTGTCCACCCGCCTGGCCAAATTTCGAGGCGTATGCAGCCGTGGCGACGACGGCGCTCTTGTAGAACAGTCTTGCCCCCCCCTTTCGCCACACGTGCAATTCCACTTACCGCCCCCTCCCCATCCTCATCCCTGTCCTCCTCCTCCTCCCCCTCCTCCTCCTCCTTCTCTTCCACCCCCACCTCCTCCTCCTCCTCCTCCTCCTCCACCTCCTCCTCCTCCTTGTGCTCGTTTCGTTTCCGTCCTATTACTAAATGGTCCTCGGTACCCTCCTCCCCGCCCTCCCCCGCCAGGTACAAGACCGCGCCCGCATTCTCCCTCCGGCCCAAGTGGAAGGACGGCTCTCGCTTGTCGTCGCCGCCGCCGCCGCCGTCGTCGGCGAGGGAGGGAGAGGGGGAGGGGGGGAGGAGGGGGAGGGGGATGGGGATACGGACGACCAGGGTCACTATCCAGCCCCCCCCCCCGTAAGACGCCCCCCCAATTGGCGAGTTCCCAGCGTCTGTCTTGATGCTGCTTCTCGCATCTGCTTCAGCTTTGCGCCGTCCCTGCTGTTGATTCTTTCGCAGCAGAACCTGAAGGACCCTCAACGCGCTGAATTCCAAAACATCCCAGGAATGACACACCTAGCAACTATTTTCACATGTCCTACAACATTCGTCTCGCCCTTAGAATGTTTGAAAGTGTTCGAATGTATTTGAATTCTGCTCGTTTGTTTGATCCCTGGTTTTTGAGGTCCTGGGCCCAAGTGAATCTCAGGAGCCAGGGATCAGGCAACATAGCGAACAGTTTAAACATCTTAGGTTTTAAAGCAATCCGATGTTTACGGATCCCTGGATTTGGGGATCCTGTGCTCAAGTGGATCACAGGAACCAGGGATCAGCCAACACAGTCGATTTAACGCTTCTGAGTTTTAAGTATTTGGGGGCCGAGGCTAATTGTCAAACATGAAATTCTTAACGCTTCGCGTATCCCCACCAGCTTGAGTACGGGCCGTGGTGCAGAGGCTACTGGCTGAAGGCCCTTCCTCGTGCTTCACCATTTGAAGTCCAGCTGTGTGCAAGTGGCTTCCCCCCTTCGTCGATGTCGGGCTGATCATCTTCATGATGACGAATACGCACAGGGTGCCATGTGAATGAGTCCGCCGCGTTTTAGGCCCCTGGGCTGCGCCCCTTGTGGCGGCCAGGGCACAGGTTCAGCGTCCGGTACTGCTCCGTTTGCCTGTGCAGTGCCTCCAGGCGCTCTTGGTCCGCTGGCATCTGCCCAGTGGTCCCCGCGTGCTTTCCGCCTCTGGCGGCGGGCCGCGTAGCTTCCGCCTGCGCCCTCTGCCGCTCTGCCCTCTTTCTCCCGGCCACCTGTGGGTCTGGCTTGTGCTCGTTTGTTGTCCATCCGTGGCAGCTTCTCTTCCGCTGGCCTTCGCCCTGTGGTCTTTGCATGGTAATCATCTGGCTTTGCGCCCCATTGCCTCATTTCGCCCTCTGGACTTTTCCTCGCGGGCCGCAAATCAAAAAAAAGTATCCCCACCAGCCCTGGGCGCGCTGCAGTTTCTTGCAGACGAGAGGTGGCCCCTCTCCCTGTTCAGCATCTGCAGTCAGTCTGCCTGTGCTTGCCCCCACCTGGAGGCCGCTGACCTGCCCGCTGGAGGGCGCGGGGCGGCCGCAGCCCGGCCAACACCGGTTTCTCGTCGCACAGCACCTCTTCACCGCGTTGTCGCTGCTCGGCTACACGTTCTACTACCTGGGGGCCTGGATGCCGCTTGTCTCCTCGGCGTCCGCTTGGCGCGACCTCCTCGCGTTGCCCGCGCCAGTCTCTCGGTGTCGTTAACGCTGCTCCTACGGGGTTGCCTGCTCGCTTCTCTATGTCTGTCTGGCCGACAGGTTCATGGAGGTCGAGTTCCATTCGCTTACCTGGGGAATTGACCGACGACTTCTCTCGCCCTGTATGTCACCGCCGTCCTGGGTATGTGTGGCGTTCTCTCCGTGGTCGCAAGTGGGGTCGCCTTCCACTGTCCTGCATCCTGTTCGACACCTGCTTGGACGTGTTCCCGGTGCCGCTTCGTGATGCCGCCCGCGCCATTTCGGCTGCCCTGAGCTCTGTCCCGCTCTGTGCTTGACGCTGCTCACCGTTATGTTTTTTCTTCAGTTTGTGGCACGGCCTGCCCCTGCTTGCACGGCGTTCGACTCGTTTCGCGCGATTGCGCACCAATGAATATCCCCACCAGCCCATCGCACGACAACAATTTTTGCGAAACACACCAGCTGTCTTTTCGCGCGCACCTCCTCCTGCCCTCGGAGGAGGAGGAGGAGGAGGAGGAGGAAACGGAGGAGGAGGAGGCGGGGGAGAGAGAGGAGGGAGGAGGAGGAGGAGGCGGATAAGGAGGAGGAGAAGGAGGAGGAGGAAACCGAGGAAGAGGAGGAGGAAAGCATGACGATCAGAAGAGCCTCCTCGGATGTTTCTTCTTTTTTTTTTTGAGGCCCCTTGGAGCGTCACGGGGCCATCTTGGGCGCTTCCGGGATCCTCTTGAAGCCTCTTGGGGGCTTCTTGGGAGCCTCTTGGAGGCCTCTTGGGCGCCTCTTGGGGCCGTTTTGGCGCCTCTTGGGGCCCTCTTGGGGCGCCCTTTGGAACCTCGGGGACGCTGTTGGAGCCATCTGGGAAAACATCGATGAAAAAGGGGTTCCCCAATTAGCGCTGCCCTTCAGGACTGCCCTTCAGGAACCCAGCGAATGTTGTTTGGGACAATCTTGGGGCGCTCTTGGGCGCTCCTGGGGCCGTTTGGGGGCTCTCTTGGGCCTCTCTTGGGGCCTTTTTGGGGCCATTTTGGAACCATCTTAAGGCCTCGGAAGGCTATCGAAAGCGAACGGGCGACGCTGCAAAACTCATTGATGTTCCTACGGTGTTTGACGGATGCTGGCCTCTTGGAGGCCTCCTTGGAGGTCCCGGAGGCTTCTTGGAACCGTCTCGAAGCGGTCTTGGGGCCTTTTGGAGCATCGCCGGAACCATCTTGAGGCATCTTTGGCTATCCTGAACCATCTTGGAGCTCATCCTGGGCTTCCGCGGCGCTCTTAGACCCCATTTTGGGCCATCTTGAACGCTGCAGCTATCAGAGAAAAACCGTCCAGGTCCAGGGGCTTGGGTCGGGGATGGGTCAAAGGCGCCAGCCCCAAAGGACACTTGAAAACAATAACAGGGATATCGACCGAGGCAACCTGGCAAAACTGGTCGCATGCACCAGGAATAGCCGTAAGGCGCTGCAGGTGTTTGATTATTCGGCTGGGTAATTGAAAAAAGGGTGCCGTGGTTGTGGTAGTGGGAGGGCGGGTGGAACAGTGAGGTGTGGTGGCGTCGTCCAGCTACGCTGCCGCATGGACGTCGCCGCGTGCATTGCACATGTGGGCTTGTCGCGAAATGCTGCAACAATTACGGCGCCATGTTGTTCAATCACGCTGCCACACGGAACCTGGCTCGTGCAGAAGTCATTGGTGGTAGTATGGAAGTGAGAGATTTGGCATGACGAAAACATAAGAAAGAGCGCGTCCTGTGGTCGCTTGGAGGGGGGGGGGGGGGGGAACTAGACCCCCCCCCCTGGATTGAGGGGGGTGTCGACCCGAAATGGAACGAATTACAACCGACTAGTCCCAATTCCAACCGTTCGGAGCGAATCGCAACCAGAAACGAGACCAATTCCAACCACAAATGAGACCAATTCCAACCCAACCAAAAATGAGACCAATTGCAACCACGGATGGGATCTTTGGAATTGCTCCGGATCCCTTCGAATTCATCGGAATTCCTAAGGATTCTTTAGGACTCCTTCAGAATTCCTTAGGATTCCTTCGGAATTCCTCCGGATTCTTTAGGACATCTTCGGAATTCCTTAGGATTCCTCCGGAATTCCTCAGGATTCCTTCGGAATTCCTCAGGATTCTTTAGGACTCCTTTGGAATTCCTTGGGATTCCTTCGGAATTCCTTAGGATTCGTTCGGACTCCCTTAGGATTCTTAAAGACTCCTTCGGAATTCCTTGGGATTCTTTCGGAATTCCTTGGGGTTCTTTAGGACTCCTTCGGAATTCCTTGGGATTCCTTCGGAATTCCTTGGGGTTCCTTCGGGATTCCTTAGGATTCCTTCGGAATTCCTCAGGATTCCTTCGGAATTCTTCAGGATTCCTTCGGAATTCCTTCGGATTCCTCCGGCATTCCTTCGGACTTCTAGACGCTTCGCGTATCCCCACCAGCCCGTCCAGAAACGACGCCCAGGCGAGTAGAGGGTCGTCCTGAGGGGCTTTTCGGCGTCTTGGGTGCCTCGGGGGGGCCTGTGTGGGTCGTTCGGGATCCTCTTTGGGGCCTCCTGGGGGCCTCTTGGGGCCTCTTGGGGCCATCTTGGGGCCTCTGGGAGCACCTTGGGTGCCTCTGGGGGGTCTCTTGGGGCCTCTTGGGGGTCTCTTGGGGGCCTCCTGGGGGCCTCTTGGTGGGCCTCTTGGGGCCATCTTGGGGCCATCCTGCGGCCTCTTGGGGCATCCTGGGGGCCTCTTGCGGTTATCGTGGAGGAAATCGATCAAAGAAGAGGGGAGCCTTAAGTAGCGTTGCCCTCTCAGAAGGCTAAAATGGGGCCCAAACCATAGGAAAATCAATGATTTTGGCTTCCTCGCCGAGGCCGTTTTGGACGCTCTGACCGCTCCCCGCCCCTCCTGTCCAGGTCAGCGGGGAGGGGGTAGGGGGAGGGGTAAACCCCTCCCCGAAGGGGAAGAGGGAGGGGTGGAAGAGGAAACGCTCTAAACCACCGACGCCCAGAGGGCTGGTGGGATTCCTTTGGATTCCTCCTTCGGAATTCCTTTGGATTCCTTCTTCGGAATTCCTTCTGGATTCCTCCTTCGGAATTCTTTCGACTGCTACTACTACTGCTACTACGATTACTATTTATTTCACTACTACTACGACTATTACTACTACTACTACTACGACTGCTAATACTACTAGTATTACTTCTTCTTCTTCTACTGCTACTACTACTATTACTACTCCTACTACTACTACTACTACTACTACTACTACTACTACTATTACTACTACTACTACTACTACTACTACTACTACTACTACTACTACTACTACTACTACTACTACGACTACTACGACTACTACGGCTACTACTACTGGCGGACTCGTGCACCACATCACCACGGCTCAACCACCTAGGGAAGAGCGTCCTTGTGGCTGCCTCACTCATTGCCAGTATGTAACGGGCACCCCTTCTGGGTGAAAGGGCGGGTCTGACGTGCTTGCAGCGTCAGGCGCTTGTCCGAGGGCAGCTGGTCCCAACGGCCCAAAGTGAAGCGCCAGC